ATTATGCTTATAGTTTTTAATTATTTATAATAATTGTAGTTAAATAAAATAAATATTTATAGCTAATAAGATTTTTTTTATAGCTTATAATATTTAAAAATCAAAATAGAAAAAAAAAGTTATTTAATTTTTTTTAGAAATAGCGACCAACTTTGGTCGCTATTTTGGTCAAACAGTCAAAAATAGCGACCAACGTTGGTCTCTATTTTGGTCAAACAGTCAAAACTTAATTAGCTACCAAAATAGCAACCAACGTTGGTCGCTTTTTTGTAAATCCAGACTCAAAAACGGGTTTTCCCCTCCCATTCTCTTATTTTCTTCCCAAAATTTCCCCAAATTCTCTCTCAACACATTCCCTTCCCCTTCTCTATTTCCCTCTCACAAATCAATCCCCCCACCCCGCGCCACCACTGTGATCTCCTGAGCCACCGCCGGAGCCGCTGCTGCCGCCGCTGCCCCTGTCCCTTTCTCTCCTTCTCCACCTAAAAAAATATAGGTTTGAATTATAACCTTGAATCTTTGTTATTTCTAGTTTTTGTTTCAATTATTTTAATATTGTAGTTTAAGGATATGAATTAGTGTTTAAATTCTTTGAACATTGTTTTTATTGAGGATTAGGGTTTATGTCTTGTTTTAGTTAGCTTTGTTAATTAATTTTATTAACTAATTAGTTTAATTAGTGTTGAATTTAATTTAGTTAGATTTAAGTTATACTTTGTATTGTCTTGATAGTTTAGTTAGAATCTAGGGTTTAGTTTATGTATTGGAATTTTAGTTTATAAATTGAAGTTTTAGGATATGAATTGAACTTTTGTGGATATGAGTTGAACCTTTAGGATATGAATTGAAATTTTTGAGCACGAATTGAACTTTTAGGATATGAATTGAGCCTTTAGGATATGCATTGGACTTTTAGTTTATGTATTGGAATTTTAGTTTATAAATTGAAATTTTAGGATATGAATTGAACTTTTGTGAATATGAGTTGAACCTTTAGGATATGAATTGAAATTTTTGTATACGAATTGAACTTTTAGGATATGAATTGAACTTTGAAGATATGAATTGAACTTTTTGTGTATGAGTTGAACTTTTGTGGATATGAGTTGAACCTTTAGGATATGAATTAAAATTTTAGGATATGAATTGGACTTTTAGTTTATGTATTGGAATTTTAGTTTATAAATTGAAATTTTAGGATATGAATTGAACATTTGTGGATATGAGTTGAACCTTTAGGATATGAATTGAACCTTTAGGATATGAATTGGACTATTAGTTTATGTATTGGAGTTTTAGTTTATAAATTGAAATATTAGGATATGAATTGAACTTTTGTGGATATGAGTTGAACCTTTAGGATATAAATTGAATCTTTAGGATATGAATTGAAATTTTTGGATTATGTATTGGAATTTTAGTTTATAAATTGAAGTTTTAGGATATGAATTGAACTTTTGTGGATATGAGTTGAACCTTTAGGATATGAATTGAAATTTTTGGATTATGTATTGGAATTTTAGTTTATAAATTGAAGTTTTAGGATATAAATTGAACTTTTATGGATATGAGTTGAACCTTTAGGATATGAATTGAACCTTTAGGATATGAATTGGACTTTTAGTTTATGTATTGAAATTTTAGTTTATAAATTGAAATTTTGGGATATGAATTGAACTTTTGTGGGTATAAGTTGAACCTTTATTTGACAACACTCATTGACTTTTATACACTTTGAACTAGACAAATCGAATCGGTTTTCGAATGGGCTTGTAATAAGAGTTAACTTAGTTTGGTTCGCTTAATGTGGTAGTTCTATTGAACTTTAAATCTTTGTTGGTTTTAATGTTGGTTTTAAAGTTGTTTTTGTGTTTTTGTTTTTGTTGTTGTTGTTGTTGTTGTGTTGTTGTTGGTATTTTGTTGTTGTTGCATGTAATAGGGATTTGATATGACTGCCTGTCACGACCCGGATTTTTTCCACCATCGGGAGTCGTGTTGGCGCCTACTAATGGAGCTAGGCAAGCCAAACATTTCAGTATTCCCTGATAACACCTCAACAATATAAATATTACGAGTCACTTAAATAAAAGCGGAAGTCTTAAAAACATAGGTAAATGAAAACCAAAAATGCGGAAGTTTAACAGTTCTCTACCCAAGACTGGTGTCGCTAACTCACGAACTACTAAGGAGTGCTAAAAACAAGTCTGAATAGAAATACATCAATGTTTGTCTCGGTACAATGAAAACAAACTAAAACATAGGAAGGGACTCCGGCCTGCGAACGCCAGCTAGGCTACCTCGTAAGTCCCTGGACTGAAGTCAGCTCTCGATCAATATCCTACTGCTGTGGTCCGAAAGCTGCTCTGGTACCGTGATCTGTGCAAAAGAGCACAGAAGTGTAGCATCAGCACAACCGACCCCATGTGCTGGTAAGTGCCTGGCCTAACCCCGGCGAAGTAGTGACGAGGCTAGACAGGACTACCAAACCAACCTGTGCAGTTCAATATATATATGCAATAAAAGGAAAGAACAAAGAAATTAAACAGTTAAGAGGGAGGGGAGCATACTATGGGGGAGTACAGTCTAGATATAAAGTCAACAATTTAAGTAAGAAACAGGGCAATAACAATAACTAATGAGAGCAGGAAAATCAACAGTTGCACGACATCAACCTTCGTGCTTTTACCCTCATTCTCACCAAGAGCAACCAAATAAAGTGCACGGCATCACCCTTCGTGATTTTCCTCACATAACTCTCACATCATGGCACGGAATTTCCCTTCGTGCAAATATCATCAAAACATGGCACGGAATGACCCTTCGTGCAAGTATAATCAAACATGGCACGGAATGACCCTTCGTGCAAATGTAATCAAACATGGCACGGAATGACCCTTCATGCATTATCACTCTTCCTCACCCAAACAGTAGTCACAACCAAACGGGGCGAGGGGATAACAAATAATAAGAAGTGTCCCGGCAAGGGAAATACACAGTTAAACAGCTAAATCCTGGCAAGGGAGCAACAACAATAACTTTCATATCCCGGCAAGGGAGATAATTAATATACTCAAACCATCCCGGCAAGGGATTAATCATATCTCTTTCTATTTCTTTCATCTCTTACTCAATAGTCTTTTTATCATTCGAGCCAACGCTCCAAAGAATTTACAATCCCTAATTAGTCCTCGTACTCTTCANCGTATTTTACATTTAGAGACCAACTTTGGTCGCCAAAATTATATTATTAAAATAATAAAGTGACCAAAGTTGATCGCTATAGTCTTTACCCGGAATATTTGGTCCTTTACCTTAGAGACCAAAGTTGGTCGCTAATTAGCGACCAACTTTGGTCCCTAAAATAAAGGGACCAGCTATATTGCGACCAGGCATGTTTGGTCGCTTTTTGGTCGCTTTTAGGCCTATAAGCGACCAACTTTGTTCGCTTTTTGTGGTCGCTTTTTACCGGATTTCTAGTAGTGCATGTATCCTTATATAGTTATATTATTAAGCTTTATAGAAAGCTCCTTTAAGTTGGCTTGATTTGTTTAGATAGCTAACCTGAGTACTTGACCCTACCTTCAAGTAAACAATCTACAAAAGAAAAAAAAAGAAAAAACGTCTTCAAAATAGATAACTAATTAATCCTACTTAAATTAAAGACACATCATTTTAGTTTTAGTTTTAACACGAACTCGTTTGTTCCAAGATCATGATCTGATCCTAAAAGCAAGGTATTGGTGTCCCAATTTAACCCAAACTTCTCTTTTCGTCGTTATAAAAATTCCTCCATTTCCTCTTGATCTACGCATACTAGGAAAAGTAAAGGCTACGTAAGATGCAGGGGAAAACAACCCTAATATTCTTTTTTCTAATACCGTTCTTCATTCTTTTCTTTCAACCCCATCTAACTAATGCATCTTCAACAAATATAACTGCAATTTTTGCTTTTGGTGACTCCGTTTTTGACCCTGGCAATAACAATGCTCTGCCTACTCTTTTCCGTGCCAATCATTGGCCATATGGTAAAGACTTTCCCGGCCAAGTTCCAACTGGGAGATTCTCTAATGGGAAATTGACAACAGATATTTTAGTTTCACAGTTGGGAATAAAGCAACTTTTACCAGCTTATTTAGATCCTAAGGTCTCTGACAAAGACTTGTTAACTGGAGTCAGTTTTGCTTCGGGTGGTTCAGGATTGGATGAACTTACTGCCAAGGAAAATCATGTGCTGTCAATGGAGGATCAGTTGAATTACTTTGAGCAAGCCTTGAAGAGAATGGAAAAAATTGTAGGGGGAAAGGAAGCTGAACGTATAGTTGAAAAGGCTTTGTTTATGATTTCTGCGGGAACGAATGACATGTTGTTTAATTTTTATGATTTGCCAACTCGAAGATATATTTCTTTGTCAGGCTACCATGATTTTCTACTCAATAGACTTGAGGCTTTTGTCAATGTAAGTCTCACTGTTTTCGTGTAGCTCAACCCATTATTTTTCTTTTGTTTGACCAAACTGTATTTAAAACCTATTGGCCTAACTAATCCCGATTTGTATCGGTTCTCGAATCCAGACTTTTAGTTAAACATAAAGGGAGTTTATCTATTTCACTATACTCGGTGGTTTAACCCGTAAATTAATTTTGCATGTCATCAACCTGAAATAATTTTAATGGGCTCAAAATTAAAAGAAAATTAAAGAAAAAAAGGTAAAAAGAAGAAAAACATGGTTTTGCTTAAATTCTTTTGCATGTGTCTTTGTATGTAGATGCAGTCTAACAACATGTTATGTATATATTTATTGAATTAGTCTAACGGAACTTTGGTATGTTAATGATAGGAATTGTATAAAATGGGAGCAAGAAAAATTGCTGTGGTAGGTCTTCCACCAATTGGCTGCTTGCCTGTGCAAGTCACCATTAATAGTTTGCTGCCGAGCTTTCATATGTTTCGGCGTGTGTGCGTACAGCAGCAGAATATTGAGTCGCAGAGTTATAACAAAAAGCTTCAATCCCTCATATCCAGGTTGCGATCTACACTCTCTGGCTCCAAACTTGTGTATGCGGATGTCTACAATCCCCTTTTGGACATTATTCAAAAACCATCAGTCTACGGTAAGATAATTACCTTCATCCTACAAACAATGATATGTGTTTAATGCATGTCCGGTATGATCATAAAAGTCATATTCAATGGAAAATTTCTGAAAAATACTTTTTTGGTGTTTGGTTAGTAAGTGTAAATTATTTTTTGGAAACAAGAAATATTAAAAATTGTAAAAACAATAACAAATAGACATTTTATAGAAGGTTTGAGCCTCAAGACTAATAATAATGTCTAGGTGATAATTATTACTGAGCAAGTAGTTGTTATTACATGGATTACACACAAATAGTCGATCAGATTCACTCTTCACTTACCGTATACTGATTATATATTGTTATACACATATATATATATATATAATTCTTGATTTAATCGGTAGGACGAGCATCGATTTAGGTTAATTCTTCGTAAAAGAAATGATTTCCCTCAAAGATGACTCTATTATATCAAACACCCCTTGATTATCCCTTTGGACAAGTAACTTGGATGATTGATTGTTTTCTTGTTTTTTCTTTATTTTGAAATAGGGTATGATCATATCCTTGAAGGTTGCTGTGGAACAGGTTCCTTAGAGATGGGGCCTTTATGCAATGAGTTCAATCCAATATGTGTTAATCCTTCAAGGTATCTCCTTTGGGATGCTGTTCATCCTACACAAGCAACTAATGAATATCTTGTTCATATTTTGCAGAGGACTGTGCTTCCCCAACTTGTTGACTAATTGGGGTCGATTATGACAAATGGTCATTAGATTTAAACTTGATTCTTTTAACTAGGGATTTCTTCTCTTTTTTTTTTTTAGCGTTAGAATTTCTGAACTTTGATATTCTTTTATACCATGGTTAAACGTAATTTTAGAGTCACCGGCTCTTGAATTAGATGAAGAGATATAAACAATTCATTAATTATTTGAATTATTGTTCTTCAAAGTGCCTTTGTTTTCCCCATCTTTTAAGTTATGGGCTAGTGGTGCAATTCACAATGGTGAAACGTGTATACAACAAGACCTAAGAATAAACAACATGCAGGCACATGGTTGTCTCCACTTAAAATTAAGAAAATCCAATAATCCGATTAATTAATATCGATTGACATTGGATAGCCAAATTGTGTACCATTTGATGGCCAGATTGTGCCTTCCAATGTTTAGCAGGTAACTGAGATTCTTAGCTTTAATTAAACTTTTATTCCTGATCACTATCTCATCTTCTGCGACATCTAAGCTAATAATTTAATTAAGACGAAAATTAATGTAGTGTTAATGGTTCGGTTCGGCCGGTTATTTTATAAAATTTGTACAATACTAATTTTTCGGTTATTCTATTATGTATAACCAAAACTAGACTTTTCGAAACCGTCCCAATCATGTCGGTTTCTCTTCGGTATCGGTATGATTCAGTTAACTTTTGGTAATTTTTTTTAAATGTCATGTAAAAGTTACTAGTAGAAGTAGAATACAATAACATACGTACTTTTATAGAACTTAGCAAAACTCCCTCGACATTTTTACAGTTTAAAAGGTGATGAATTAAGAAAACATGAAAGATGGCTAGAGTATAGATCCATCAACTATTCTACAAAATAATGTAAAGTAAATACAATAAAAATATAAATCACACGAGCGTAAAGATATTTACCCAGCTGGGACTCAAGAATTAAGTCTATAGAAGATTAAATATTCAAAAAGATAAATCTAAATCATAAGAAAGGAAACATATTCAATATATTGTAATTTATTACTCATAATCGCTACAATACCTTGTGTCTTGCTATTGAATATGCTGAAAATAATTTAGTTTCAATAATAAGAGTAGCATAATAGGTTTGGAAATTAGGATTTTGAGTTTAATTACTTGTTGGCTTGTCACTAGTTCATAATTCTAAGGTCCAAGAAAAAATTTAATGCTTTATTATTTTAAACTTAATATATAAATATATTTTTCACATTGTAAATTTATTCGGTACAGTTCGGTATTTTTTCGGTTTATTTTCGTAAAATAAAAAACCTACCCTAATTATCGTTACGGTTATAGATTTATATAAAAACCTACGATTTTACTAAAAGAAACCTAAAAATCGGTTTGGTACGGTACGGTTCGATCGGTTTAATCGGTTTTTAGATATCCATTGACACCCCTAGATATACCAACTCCCTATGTAGCACTACTTTAAAGGCGACATTACAATACATCACTCGCTATGTGGTAGATTCAAGTAATTAAAGGAGAACGGTTTGCTGAATATAACTGCGGCATGTAAATGAAAGGTTGCGGTATTACAATCAGCTGAGCTGCCAAAATTCAGGTGGTCTATATGAGAATAGCTTGCTCCCTTTTGACTATATATACCTAAAAATTCTAGAATAAGTAATAAGGGTCCAGAAAATATGGAGTAACAAATTGTATGCGGTCGAGATCGTATGCATTCGATCTATATGCTCGAGGAATCGTCCAAAGTCTGACCTCAAGCAAAATCGAGTTCGAGCTCGAGGGACCAGATCCGAGTTCGAAGACAGAGCTCAACATCTGCCGGGGTCGAGTATGCTCGACCTCGGAATAGTACTGTTATGGACTTGTAACAGAATGGGTTGGATTCCTGCCACGTCCCCAAGATCACGGCGCAAATTTCGGAATATGATTGTACGATTCCGTACTAGGCGGTTAGACCGCTGTATCAGGAATATTCCCTACTGTAAATAGAAATATTCGATATTTAAGATTCCCCTGTTATATAAAGGGACCCCAATCATTTGTAACATCATCTAATGATTGAGAAAAAAATATACTCTCTACTTTTTGCCTACTGTTCATTAGAATTGTCTTTTAGCTCTATAGCTCTTACTTTACTTTTCTTGCTTAATTGTTCTTATTGTCCTAAACCCACATCGAGGTCACTAAGCTCGAGGCCACTGCTGCTGAGTTATATTGGTTTGATACATTTATTTCCTTCACTTCTACTTCATATTCCTTGATTATTAATTGGTATTGAATCTAATCATGTATATTTAAAATCACAAATCAAATTTAATTGTTACTCGTATTTTCGAGGTAAACAGTTTGGCGCCCACCGTGAGGCTAAAGATAATAGTGATTGTTTCTTTGCTGATTCTTATTACACACGTTATTTTTACACTTTTTCTTGTCAAGAATTTTTTATTCTCAGGCTGAAACATGTCTAGCTCACAAAATGCACCTGCTAATGACAACGAAGGTCTTGGTGAAAGCAACAATGTAGGGGTAGGTGTACCACCGGTAAACCCTGGGGAAGTGCCAAACAAGGAACCGGTTGATGTTAGTTCTCATATTGCTATAAACACCAACTTAGGCACAAACCCCGAAGGGAGTGTACGCAGGGAAGCCCGACCAGGGGACCAAGGAACACCAGGAACAGGAGATGGGGGAGTCAGCCTCTAAGTGATATTCGAGATGCTGCAGGCTCAGCAAATCGCCATCTCTCAACTTCAAAGTCAGAATAAAACTCCAAATACTGCCGAACCAGTAAACTCTCGACATACTGAACTGGTGCCAGAAAGACCAGGTGAAAGCAGCTCGGGGACTGACCCCACGATTATGAAGATGCTCGAAGAGCTCACTAAGAGGATCGAGTCCGGAGAAAAGAAAATCGAAGACAATGATAAGAAGGTGGAGACTTATAACTCCCGAGTAGACCAGATACCGGGGGCACCTCCAGTTTTGAAAGGATTAGATGCCAAAAAATTCATACAAAAACCATTCCCTCAAAGTGCGGCTCCGATGCCCATTCTCAAGAAGTTTCGCATGCCCTATGTACCCAAATATAACGGAACAACCGACCCCAACGAGCATATTACTTCATACACTTGCGGGATCAAAGGAAATGATTTGAATGACGATGAGATCGAATCGGTCTTGTTGATACCCAATTTTTCCCAAAATATTTTTTAGTTGCATATATGCCTTCAAAATCATGCATTAACACCATTTGGTATTTTTTTCCTATAATTTTTCCACACTTTTTTATTTGTCCAGTATTTTATTTCCAATAAATGATTACAAAAATTGCATCACAAATGATTTCAAAGGCATTTCTTGGTTTAATTTATTTTTTATGGTCCTATTAAGACCAAATTGTTCCATAAATGGCCAAATTGGCACCTTTTGGTTATAATTGCAATAACTTTGCAATTATAGCCCATGCGTACATTTTTGTATTATTTTACCAGAAATTAGTCTGTTGTATTTTTAATATTACTAAATAACTATTTTTAATACATTCCTATGCATGAAAATCATTTTTATAATTAGTAATTATATTAGTCAATTTATTTGGGGTATTTAACAAATAGCCTTGTTTACTTTCAATTTCAGCCTAATTGACCAGCCCAAATACCCTTATAAAAGCAGCCCAAAGCTCCCTTAGGCCCAATCTGCATGCCCCGACCCAATAGCCCCGTTTAATCGTGGTCGTTGATCATTTTGATCAACAGTCCACGATTAAACTTACCATATTAATCCAAACAACCCCCTAAACCCTCTCATTAGCTCTCATTTCCGCCGCCCTTTCCTTCCCTTCTTTCTCAAACTCCCTCTGCCTAAACCCTAACTCTTCTTCGTCGGCTGCTTGCTCGCCTATAATAATAGTGGCTCACCACCACCCCTAGCCCTAATGGCTCCCCCATGACCGGATTCTTGCTGTCTTGAGGTCCTCAAGGGACCAGTGGCTGTTCACTCACCACCCACGGCATGTTCTCGCCGTTCTCAGACCACCATGACCCGATTGAGTAAGATCTTCATATTTCTCGGCTAAACCTATGGGTTTCGAAGCCGGTCTCTCTATTTCTAGGTTATTTTTTGAAAAAACCCTAATCTCTTCTCCTGTACCTCTTAGATCTGTAACAGATCTGAGGCTTTTCTGAGCTATTTTCGTTTGTTTTATGAAAAAACCTTTCGATTTCTCAAAGCGTCGCATATTTTCCCATTAGGGTTTCTGGAACTTTTCTTCAAAAACATATTTCTGGTCCTTTTAGTGTTGTTCTCTGATTCACATATGTTTGAACGACTTTTTGCTAAAATTGCTTTTAATCCTGATTTGTTATGTTAAAACCCCATTTTAACACTATGTTATAATCCTGAGTTCATTCTTGCTTGTCGATTCTGCTATGTGTGTGTTCGAAGCCCATGAATATGTTTCGATTAGTGATTTCTACCCCAATAATGTCTTACTAGGGTTTCTAATTTGTCTCTTTCTGGCTATACTCAGTACTTGTTATTCGTGGAAGTTTATAATGTTTCCCTTAGTAATAGTACTATTTTCCGATTCTTTAAATCCCTGATTTCCTGGGACGATACTCTTTACTGATTTTCGGCTACTTTTCCTGTTTTCACAACCTTTAAATATTTTCTTACCTTGTTATGTGATTGACTGCATTATTGCTCGATTCTTACTGTTATTTTCTTAATTAGAACTCTATGTATCTACCCCTAATTGCTTATTCTGTACTTAGGTCTTTTGAACTCTTTCCTTATTTGGTACCTGTTCTTTACCACTTGAAATGACTCCCTTAATTAAGGGAAGACTTGGACTGATTTTACTTTAATTGATTCCGAGTTCTCCAATTACTGAACAATTTGATTCTTACCTTATTTACCTAACTTTCAAACTACTATATATATGCTTTCTTCTACTCTCATTAGACGAACATTAGTTCACGACTCCCTCACACACTTAAAACTTTTTCTGCTCTCTTTCTTGTTACTATTACTGAATTAGCCGGCTGCAAGCCAAGGCTAATTATTGCACCCTATTGCTCTTCACTTTGTGTCTATTCTCCTTAACTGGTATGTTCTAATTTCAATTCAAGTCCTAAACACTATGTGTTTTCTTGCTGTTTTAGTTTACTAGTTACCAATCTGTTCCTGTCTATTATCTGACCTTTCAATATGTAACTAGCCTGTTTGGATCACT